GGAATAACTCCTATAGGCTAAGGGGGAGAAAGGTGAAAAAACTCGATAGTTTAACAATTCTTATAGCAAAACCTCAGCTGGATTTCAAGAACCAGCCCAGAAATAATCTTTTACACCATTGCTTGGGGATATCTAAGGCACAAACTGAAATAAGTAACTGTTGTAGTTTTAATGTTTTGTTGACTTGTCATCTTCTTGACCAGGTTCAGTAAGCAGAACAAGGACAGCATCCATCCTTACATGTACATGCCCTTTGGAAATGGACCCCGAAACTGCATTGGTATGAGGTTTGCTCTCATGAAAATGAAAGTTGCTCTTGTCAAAGTAATGCAGAACTTCTCCTTCCAACCTTGTAAGGAAACACAGGTCAGTAGATTTTCATATAAATAATGTTTATTTGAAGATGTTTTTCCAAACAGAGGGGCCTAGACAAAGAAAAATATATGCTCATTCATCATTTAATTCTTATATGTATAGTCCAGTGAATCTCTTTTTCACCATTTTTGAGATATTAGAGTTCTTCACTGTGGGGGCTCTAAATCTATGGCTTTATGAAGAACAAAGTGTAAAAAATGTATGGACTCAATGCAGGTTAGTGTGCCATATGTATGTGTGGACTGTGAACTTGAGCACAGTGTAAATTCAGCTTTAAGTCTCCTGGAGAGACCCTGTGCACAGTCTCAGGCCTTGTACAGGATAAATGTTTATAAAATAATTTTTCAGATAAATGAATAATTTTACTATTTAATCATGACCCACCTTAGAGAATGAGTAGGATGAATTCAAAGTACATGATACTAAAAGTAGTTTTATGTTTGTGAAGCATCACTGTGCTTAATATATCTTTTCAACTTTGCTGCTTTGGTTCTTGGTGTTTCATTCAGTGCTTTTCCATGTGCTCGTTGAAATGTTTCAGATTCCCCTAAAATTAGCCAATCATGGACTTCTGAAACCTGAAAAGCCCATTATTCTGAAGGCTGTATGCAGAGATGGGACAATAAGTGGAGCCTGAACTTCCCTAAGTATTTGTGCATTGTTGTCCTCAGAGCCTGAAACCCAGAACATCAGAGAAAAAAAATTTATTTTGTGAAGAAAACTCAAAATGAAGATAGACTCTATATTCCTCAGTTGATTAATGACAAGAGATGCTGGACCTTTCCTAAGCTTTCTCAGGGTCTGTGCAGAGTATTATCTATTTTCTGATGAAAAGGAGGTGACCACCTCAGTGCCAGATGTGAAGACTCACCTTTTCTGGGTCTAATGGGCTCTTTCCTCTCACCGACAGTTACTCCTGGCAGCTCCTCCTGAGCTCTGATCAGATAATCAACAATTATTAGCATATTTGTCAACAATTTTTAATAAAAATGAGGGTGCTTGTGGTGGCTTTTGTAGTTACATTGATATATGATGTGTTCTTTAAAATATTCTGTGATAAGTTTTATAATGAGAAAGTCAATAAACATGTCCTTGTAGAAGTTTATCTGAAGCCTCTATGCTTATTTAAGGGGATATATAGTACTGAATCAGTGAGAGTCAAAACTAAATCTTTTGATCATCACAATCAGTGAATACATGGAGCTTTTTCAGCAATTCAAACTAAATAGTAAGGTAGATAAAGCTAACCCACTGTGAATTTCCCATTACTGGAAAAGTATATTCATAGTGTCTTTCTGCCATTTTTGAAGTACAAAATTTGTGACAATTTACTGAGGTGTACTTATTACTATATCTCTAGCTTAGATTTAATACCCCCATTTTATTTCCCTTTTTGATTCTGGAAAGCAAGAAACATAGTTGTAATCCATCTTCAACTCCTAATGGTGTAGACCTTATCTATTTATTTTATTATTTATTTATTCAAGTACTGGGATTGACTCCAGAGCCACATCCCCAATACTTTCTATTTGTTCTAATTATTTATACATGACAGTAGAATGCATTTTGACACATTATACAAAAATGGAGTAAAACTTTTTATTCTTCTGCTTGTACATGATGTAGACGTATACCAGTCATATAACCATATATGCACATAGGGTAATGACCAATTATTTCTAGTATCCTTTCATATATATATATATATATATATATATATATATAATACATGTTATATGATATATATTTATTGATACAAGTTTTAGGTAGGATGCTCAGGGTCTCACTGAGTTTCTGAAGCTGGTTTTGAACTCATGATCCTCCTGCTTCAGCCTACAGAATCTTGAGGATTACAGGCAAGGTATAAGTTGTCCTACTCTTTGAGATTAGTAAGGAAAGACTCTACCAAAATAGGTGCTATAAGAGCTGGCTTTTGGAGGCTCAGCAGGAGTCTTTTATGAGGCACAAAAGTATTCTATGCAGAGGAACCTGTGTGGGCAAAGATATATGAATGGAGCTTGTGTTGACAAAGGTCTTATGATTTGTACATACAGCAGCTATGGGACTGGGTTTTCTCAGAGGTAGAATGCTCATCTACTGTGAACGTCTAGTGCATTCGGGCCCCTGGGTAAGGGTCGCGAAATCACCGGGACACAGGGGATGCAGAGCCAAGGAAGCAATTGCAACTGCATGCTGAGGTTTATGTGCAAGTTCCTTTAATATTCTTCTTCTAACAAAGCAGGCAATTCTTCAGTAACATTTCATCTACATTGCCCAAATATCATGTCTCAGCGGGTACACAGAGCTAAATTCAGATTGTTCCTGTTCATTTGATAAGTACCCTCCCAAAGTTCTTTAGATATTATCTAATCCCCAAATGTACTGTTCCCAGGTTCAGTATGCAGGAAGCTTCTTCCTCTAGGCCAAACCATGCAGAGGTTGTTGCTTGCGATAAGGGGAAGAGAACTTTTTCTCCTCCTGGCTGAGGCTTGCCTTAGCTGACCTAAATCACACCCACAGCTCTTTGCAAAATGTCGGGCTGAGGGAGCTAAACTCTGCACACTTAAACCCCAACAATCTACTATGTGTGAGACACTGGGTTTGATCCTCAGAATCAAAGAAAAATAAAATAATGATATTGTGTCCACTTAAACAACAACAACAACAACAAAACAAAACAAAAAGACAGCAGCAGGAGATTAATGCCTGTGACTATACTTGAGTTTCTCATAATATTACATAACTTTTGGCATTATTGATTATGCAGTGATTTATTAATTTACCACAACATAAGAATTGAAAGAATTACAGGAGTCCCATGCCAGGTACAAAATCCAGATGTGGCCACTCATCACACCCCTCTCACACCCAAAATCCAAAAAGTAATTGCAAAAATCAAGAAAAGAACTTTAGTTAGTGCAGCCATACCAGAAAGACCAGGGGATTCATGTTTTAAAGACCAGGGGATTCATGTCTTCTGGGTGCTGGCATGACCCAAAGGTTTAAATAGAAGCAGAATTGGGACAGTGGGGAAGAGGTATGCATTGTGAAGCAGTCTTGTACAAACTGAGGTCTGAGGATTGCTATCTCACTTTTAGCACTGTAAAGTAGCTCTTGAGAAATCCTTATCACTTTAAAGGAATAAATTTTATTTATTGTTCCAGATGTTTATCTATCAGATCTGGTATCCTAAATGGGGCAGAGTAGGTCCAATGAGATGATTGCTCCTGTTGAGGGAATAAATTCGTGTGTTTATCTGTCTAAATGCTCTGCCTTTCCTTGAAGGAAATGAATAATGACTGAAGACTTCTGGGAACAACCCTCAGGTTCTGAAACAAGATACTGTAAAAGCTAACACTCGAGGGGCTGAGGTTGTGGCTCAATGGTAGATCACTTGACTGGCATGTATGAGGCAATGGGCCTAACTCTCAGCAGTACATTAAAATAAGAAATTAAACAAAGATGTTTTGTTCATCTACAACTAAAAAGCTTCTATCAACTTTATAGAAGCTGATAGTTGAATGTCTCTTCAAAATTTCCTCAGTCTTTAAGGAGGATAAGATAGATTAGATACATTTGTAATCTATTGCTAGTTTTTATCTGAGCACTCCTTAAATTATTAACATGTCTATGTGCAGAGCTGAGCAGTCACAAATGTTAAGTTAGTAAAGGATACTGAATGAAGGCAGAATGCTAAGCTTTATCCTGCTTTTAGTTATTCATTGTACAGCTTCAGGCCTCAGAGTCATTTGTCTTTACCCAAAAAAGCATCTTTAAGTCTCTGTTTTCAAAGGTCAAATTAGGAGAGTGTATTATTCTTTGCCAACTGCAAAGAGGACACCTGACCCCTCCAATTTCAGGAGATGCAAAAGTGGCCTTTCCACTGGCTTTGTCCCTGGTGCAACCTGCTTCCCCAGCATAAAACTGGCCTCACTGAATCATAGCTTGTCACAAAAGGTAAACTCTGCAGGCACAGTTCTGCAAAGGGCAGCCCACATAGCTGAAAGAAAAATAGATAATTCAAAACTGATGAAAGAAAGTGATGAAGAATCTGACCCTGAATTTTTCTGTAGAGACTCGGGTCCTCCTGGCTATCAGCCTTATGCTTCTTTATCTGTGAGTCACTGTTCAGCCTTTTATCCACCAGAATCCTGGAGTTGGTAGCATAATCAAGTTCCTGTTTGCCTTAATTGTTTGGAAGATCAAAATAGATGATGAAATTTAAATTGCTATAAACCTTTAAGAAGTTCCTATTGATCTTAGGCACACTGCTTGAGCTACTCCCTGCCTGAAATCCATATTCCTGTGGTTTGGGAGATTCAGGGTGAGGTGTGATCCCAGGAATAATCTGATTGGCTCTGAGTTTGCACATAGTGTGATAAACCAGAATTCACCATATACAGCAAATGCATAAGTTTTTATCACATGCAGTGGGAACCTCATCCTTTCAAGCTTTGGGAATTCTGGGGAAAACCAGTTAATTGGATTTTGTATCTTCATCATCTGGGATTTCTGGAAAAAAGACATTCTAAAGGACTGTACCTCTTCATATGGTGATTCCTGTGCCCTCCTTGCTGCAGAACCATTTATACAATGCACCATAGCTCCTCAGACTCTCTGAGAGTCTGACTGAACAATGCCCCCTTTTCTGCAAAAAGCACATCCTAGCACATCTCTCCCTCTTAAAACTCAATTCTTCCATCCTGAAATTCACAGACCTTTTAATGCCTAAATGATTAGTGTCTAGATTAGAAAAAACTGACAGAAATTTTCAGAAATTTTATTCTTTCCTTTTGTATTATCCTTCATCTCTCTTGGAGATTATCATCAGTAAAAAGACTTATTTACCCCCTTATAATATCTACTAGCAGCCTGAAAAACACCCCAAACCCAAATGGGATTTTCTTTTTTATTTCCCACTACACTCCAGCATGAAAGCATGAATCTATATCCTCTGGTAGGGAAATTGCTCTTGATAAGATGCTAGTATCATGAAGCAGAGGGAAAGATGATATTTTGATGCTAGGGTACAAGAGATTCTACACAGGTAATGTGTGACTTCAGTCTCAATGTCACTTTTAAGAATAATGAATTAGAATATCATGGAAAAGGAAAACAAGATCTGGTTTTTAGTCTCTAAAAGAAAACTATAAATTCAGAGTGTTGTGACAACATAATCTGCTCTGATGACATTTTCTAATGAATTAATGCAATTGAATTTTATTGTATTAAATGACAGGATTTGTACAGAATACATGAAACCTACACTGCCTTAAACAGTCACCTCTAAAAAGCAGCAGCAAGTTCTTATTACAACAGTCTGGAACATATTATGGGTTCTTAATTAATATTGCATATTTTCTTCTCAGTTAAAAGGATAGTTCCTGAACTTTGGAGGGTCCCTCTCCACATAAATGAAAGGAATTACAGGGCATACTGGGCCATTTATCCATGCCACAGTTTTCTACTCTGCCACTATGGGGCCACTTTTTCAGAACTAGCTGTTTCATGGTTAAAATAGGCCAGGACTCTCTTGTACATCATTTCTTTTTTTCTGTATTTCTCTCATCTTTTGGGATGGTTGGGTGCCACAGTCTGGCTGGGCAAAGTAACTGGGAGATGACAAGCAACTTGTGAAGGTTGATACAGCTGGAGCCCCT